TGACTGAAAAATTGGTTTAAGAAAGTCAAGAATTCAAGAGAAAAACTTGAAAAATGAAATTTGGCTGGTATTCAGCTTAGCCAGAAAAATGTTTAGTATAAAAGTAGATGTTTAGAAGCTTGCTTTTGAGTCATAAAGATATTCAGTCAAAGCAATAGAATGAAAACTCTGGTCAAGCAAAAAAAAAACAGTGCTCAAAAAGGCTCGAATGAATTTTGGGTGAAAGGGGTGTGGTCGATGGAAGAAAAGAAAAGTTTTCTTTGCAAATAAGGTGGAGAATTGATGGAAAGTGTAGAGGGAAAAGGGGAGCAAGGAGAGAAATGCCTGAGATAGGACTGATCAAAGTGGGGTGGGGAATTGATAGGGAGAGGGAAAAGAAAAGGGAGATTGTTTTGGGGATACAGAGATCATCGATGAATCTTCTTTATTGCGAAAGGAGTACTTTCGAAAAACGAAAGTACTCTAGAAGGAGTACTTTCGAAAAACCTCTTAAAATTAGGATCAATAGAGCAACAACGGTAAAAAGCTATCGACTCTAATAGAACGCCACGTAGAGTCGCGTAGTCTAACTTCTTTTTAGAAAATCATTCTTTTCTCAGTCGCTAGATTTCCAACCAAACTTTTGATATCAAAAAAATACTAGATTTCAAGGGCTATCATTTGACACTCAAACGAAAACTGTAGCATAAAGCAGCGCGGAGAATGAAACGTTCAAAGTTCGACTACGCGACTGTACACCCGTCATTATGGCGTTCAAAGTTCAACTACGCGACTGTACACCCGTCATTATGGCATTCTATTAGAGTATTTACGGTAGGTACCGTTTTCCTAGGTAAAATTAGGGATCTTTACGGTTAACGGCGGGGGATAGCGATTATTGGCGGGGCCAATTTTTTGGTCAACTTTCAGCTCATTTTTAAGCACCATCAGATCACTTGTCAGATCAGGAAGTTTTGTTAAGATTTAGATAGCTTAGAACATCAGCTTTCAGAAACTATTTGTTTTATCAAAATTTATTAACATAAACTTATATAAAATCGGGCTGGAAATTGATCAAAAACTTGGCCTCCGTTGGAAATTGGAAAAAAAATTGGAGATTGGCCCCCGCCGTTAACCGTAGAGGTCCAAAATTAGAATTCAGGCCATGGAAGTGCTGTCGTTCTGATCAAAATCGTCAATGTTTTAGTTTGACCGCTTTTGAAGAACGAAGTTTTGAATAAAATGAGAAAGAATAAGAATAAACAAAGAAAGAACAAAAAAAAAATCTTTTATAGAAAAAAATCGAGGAAATGGGACAAATGCTACCTTTTTTTGCGCACACGGCCCACCAGGGCTAATATTTTTTTAAAAAGCTAATATTAACAAATTTCTATTCCAAAAAGTTGTTTTTCTGGGTAATTTTATGGCGTACAATCCAAATTTTGACATATAAGAGTTTGTGGAATCAATTTGAAAGATAAAAGGGTAGGTTTTTGAAAGGTAGGTCAAATTACAGAAAAATTACAGAAAATTATCGATTTTCGTTTTGTATAACTTCGCCTGTTTACTTCCACAAGCTCTGATATTTCAAAATTTGGATTCTACACTCTAAAATTACCCAGAAAAACAAATTTGCCAATAGAAATTGGTTATTATTAGCTTAAGGTCTTTTTAAAAGGCGAAAAAGGGTGCGCTATTGGGTCGGATGCGCAATAGACTTGCTTATCGATATTATCGATACGAACGGCATGCTCATGTTTGGCCGTTCAGATCTAAGCTTCTAGCTGCAAGCTTGCCTGTCCTAGAACTGGACAGGACTAGGACGTGCCTGTCCGCACCGATCACAACTGCCTATAGGTCTTGTGCTTTTGTGGTTTGTGTCTGAGTTAGGTGAAGCGCGAGCCTAACCCAAGCAAAAACTAAAAAAACGCGATACTTATAGGGTGCAGACGGTGCAAAGGCCATAAACAACCTTCTTGGGGTAGGCTAATTTCCGCAACAGGGTCAACAGGCCAAATTCTTTTGCGCAACTCGCCAAAACTTTCTTCTAAGTCGGTCAATCTTTATGATTTTGGTTTCATTTTGTAGATCTCAATAAGTGCAACAAAATGAAAGCAACATCATAAAGATTGGTCGACTTAGAAGAAAGTTATGGCGAGTCGCGCAAATGACCCTGTTGCGCAAAAAAAATTGTGGAAATTAGCCTATCTAATCTTCTTGCAAGCAAAACAAATAATAAGTGACAAGAAGTTAAATGCAAAATGGCGCCAAATGAATAAGGTTTACTAAGCGACACTTATTTCTTGTTCTTCTAGCATCTTTGATGTGTTTCTTAGCCAAATCAGTCTAAAAAATTCCATTCTGGAAAACCCCGTTTCTAGAACAGCTATCAATCTGAAAATTCTTTCATTAGAGTGTCAGCTTTTGATTGTTATTTTATACATGGCGACTTTTAATGAGTAAGCACCTCATAAACCTTATCGATACTTTTCGATATCGAAAGTCTCGATTATCGATTAGCTTGATTAGCTCGATAAGTGTTGATAAGCTTTTCAAGGCACTCACCTATGAGTTGCTCTGAGATAGCAATCAAAAGCTGACATTCTTGACTTCCCGAAACAATTCTCAGATTGATAGCTGTTCTAGAAACCGAGATCTGCACGATCATCGATAATATCGTAATATAATAATATAAGCAAGTCTAGTGCGCAAAAAAAAGGTCGCGTTTGTCACAATCCCGAAATCGACAAACAAAAAATGAAAAAGTTTTATCCAAAGAAATCGATAAATGTTGAATATTACGCCACTTGACTGAATATCTTCACTTTTGTAGCTGCATTGAGAAAAATTTTTCATTCTTTATTTGATTTTTGAATTGTTGCGCGCCAATCCTTTTGTTTTGCGTAGTTTATTAAACTTGACGGGGTGGGACAAATGCGACCTTTTTTTTGCGCACCTGGACATTTGCGCACCTTTTTTTGCTGGAAAAAGCCTTAGGCAAGGCCATAGAGCTTCAAAAATCTTTCCATATAAGGGAATCGTATGCGTAGATTCCGAATTTCGACAAATCAGACCTCGCTGACATGTCAAATTTGGGCTAAAAGGCAAAAGCGTTAAGTTGCGTAGTTTTTGCCTTTTAACCCAAATTTGACGTGTCAGCGAGGTCTGACTTGTCGAAATTAGGAATCTACGCATACGATTCCCTTCCATGAAAACATTTTTGAAGCTCTACGGCCTTACCTAAGGCCTTTTCCAGCAAAAAAAGGTCGCATTTGTCCCACCCCCGATTTTTGAATTGTTGCGCGCCAATCCTTTTGTTTTGCGTAGTTTATTAAACTTGACTCATTTGGCGTTTTATTTCAAGAGCTCAATGAAAATGAGAAGAGCATCCGCGCTTTTAAACGTTAACCATGCTACAATCAATGCTTGTCAACTGATATTGTAGTTTTGAAGCCGAAGCTTGCTCCAATCTTTGTCCCTAGCCATCTTGTTATCTTTTTCTATTCTTGATCCATTCAATTTTCCTTTTTTTTAGGGTACGATGTCCGATCACGATGAGGATCATCAATTTGAGGGAGCCGCAGATTCAGGAGCTGCTGCCACTTTCCCCAAGCAATGCTCGGCACTGCGCAAGGGTGAGCACGTGATGATCAAGGGGCGTCCATGCAAGATCGTCGAGATGTCAACTTCGAAGACTGGAAAACACGGACACGCCAAGGTTCATATGGTTGCTCTCGACATCTTCACCGGCAAGAAATACGAGGATATCTGCCCATCCACTCACAACATGGATGTCCCAATCGTCAAGAAGCGCGAGTTCATGGTTGGTTTTTTGGGGGTTTAATATTAGACTTCAAACATACCTTTGAAGTACCGCCCACAGGTGTCTCTATTACTAGAGGTGAACTACGTTTGTTGCGTTTTGCTTGCCTTCGATGGCTTCATTCGATAGATATTAATCGGGGCTATCGAATGAAATAAAGCCTAGTCAAATCGGTCAAGTGAGCGGCAAGAAAAACGCAAAAAAAAACATAGTTTGCGTCTGGCAGACTTGTTGGTGGTACTCTGGGGGACACTTGGGGGCTGTGCTTCAAAAGTACTACAGAAGAAAAGAACCATGGCCGTTTTGCTTTTAAACTTTATTAAAACAACGATGGGGACTGTTTTAGCATTTAATTGTTAAGGCTAATGTAGGGAGTTACTAGATTGTTGCCTGAGATTAATGTTTTTTTCTTTTAGTTGATGGATATTAACGCCGATGGATTCCTCAGCTTGATGGATCCAGAATCTTGCGACACAAAGGACGACTTGAAACTGCCAGAAGACGCTACACTTGCAACTCCAATCAAGGAAGCTTTTGAGAAGGACGAAACCGGGATTATGGTAAATCTCGGGTTTTTATCAATTTTAAGCCTTTAAGGTTCATCAGCTTTGTGAATTGTCTATCTTGTTCTGTTTAGGTGACCGTTTTCGCTGCTTGTGGCGAGGAAGCTGTGATGGGTTTCAAGAACATGCCCAAGGATCAATAGAAGATACGTGGCCTCTTCCAGCTTTCTTCAACCATTTATCACCAATGATTAGACGCCGAAATCGTTAAATATTTCTCTTTGGTTGTTTCATTATGGTAAACACTTTGAATTATTGTGTCAATGTTTGAAAGTTTTTAATAAATTTTTATCCATTTTGCTTGAATCACGTATGCAATTGAAGTTTAAAGAGTACTTTTTTTCCAAATTACAGTTATTCTTTGAAGTTTGGTAGTAGAGCATTAGCCGTCGAGCTTTTTCAAACCTTGTAAACTGCTTAGGTTTTACTGAGAAGATATCTGGGTAGGAAGAAAATAAGGCGTGAAAGGATTTAAATAATGTATGGTACTTAATGTTGGTTGCTCTTAATATTTCTGGAACGCATCAAATCGAACCAAATTTTGTTGCAAAATTTAAGCTCTCCGTACCTGCTTTTTAGTTTTCGTAACTTCAGTCATGTTCTTCTGCATTTTGGTTTTATTTTACTTTCAGCAAATGGCTGACTCGGATGATGGAGAGCTCACTTCACTTGAATCGCTACGGAAGTCCATCAAACGAGAGGAAGAACGATTTCGAACCGGATTAGAAAGTATTAAACAGGTTTCTATTTTATGTGATTCAGACTCATTAGTGAAATTAGATGCTGCGCGAAGTCGACGATATCGAACCAAGTGAAGCCGACGCTTTAAAGAGGCGCTTTGAGGTTTTTGTCAACAACTTTGAGCCGCGCTCGACAAAAATTAACGTTTGTTTTTAAAATTAAAATTAGCGTTTGTTGTCTAAATTTCCCTTATCAAGCTAGATTTGGTGCTTTTTAGATCAAGAAAAAAGCGCAGGCTAAAAAACCGAGCGGATACCACAACGGGATGAGCGTATCGCCAGCTAATATGGAAAATGAAGAGATTCTTGAAACAACCATTCCTCCGAGGTCATTTGTAGAATCGGTTAGTTTTTTAGTACAAGCTACAAGTATTAATTTAAGTATTTAAGATACCGTCGACAAGTCGACAGGATAACTTAAACTCGGAAGTTTTATCGACAACCGTGTCTTTGAGGAAATCTGGTAAGCTGAGTGGAAAATGTGCTTGGTTTTATGGTTATTGTTGGGAAATTTGGAAGTTTAGGTAACCCGATTTTGCAAGCGGATACAAGTGAATCGCAAGAAAACTCGTTTGAGCTGTACACTGATGACGGCAATATATCATCAACGTCGATGGTCATTGATCATGAAATTGACGACGCGAGCGATAATGAATCGACGGATATACATCGACGGGTGTGTAGACTCACTGAAAAAATTACCATGTCAACATCACAGAATGAATCAAGTCCCGAAGAAGCTGCTGAAGTATTCGAGCCGCCAAATTTATTGACCCTTCTTGGATTGCCGCCTACGACCGACCAGCCGATGCTTGAAGAAAGTACGACAGCCAACGAGAAAAATATTACAAAGGCGGATCGAAAGGAGAGAAGCGTTCGTTTTGTGACTGTTTTCAAAATTTTCTCGAATTTTATTATCGATATGAACTCGGATTCGAACTGCACCTCGATTTTATAGAACGGCATGCGTTTCTACTTTTATAATGCCCTTAGCATAGAGTTGGGTAACTGACGCTAACTGACTTATTTTCAGTTTCATGGGAAATTTCAAACAAATGGGGCAGCTACGCAGGAAAGGGGCGGAGCTTCGTAGTTTCTGTGGTTGTCCCTTTTGTTTGAAGTTTTCCACAAAGTTGAAGCTATTCAGGATAGGGAGACTTTTCAAAAGTTTATAGTTTATTTATTTTCCCTAAACATTTTCGAAACGCATAAGGGCAATTTGAAAGATCGATAAATGCTGAAAAGAATCGTGGGAGATGAGTTCCCGTCGGTCGACCCACAAAAAGCACCCCCGGCCTCTACCATTTTTTGCATGCTATCGAAAGAGAACTGGGCTGTCCGTTCCGCGCCGCCTCTTTCCCCCCTTCTCCCCACCTTCATTCCCTGCATCGATTTGGACCTACTTTTTATGCCGTAATTTCTATCTATAAATTCTTCTACAACTAAATTGCTTATGTTTCTGATAACCTAAAATTTTTCAGACTTTTCCAGTCTTTTGCTGCTAACAAGCAAATTTAACAGCGATTACTTTTTTTTGGGGTTATATGCAAATTTTTTTGGCAAAAGAAAAGCGTTAATTGTTTTGAGAAAAACAACCTTTGGTGCATGTTTTTATTATGGGGTAAAGATTATTAATAATAATAGTTAAAGTGCAATTTAGCTGGGGAAGCATTTTTCACTAGGAATTATGGCATAAAATTGTACCATAAAGATATATACTATTCATCTTATTATCTTTTTTTGCCTTTAAAAATCATATTTTCTGATTTACATTTTTATAAAATCCAGAAAATGTGAACCTATCAGTTTAAAACTGTTCTATTCAGGTTGGAGCGGGTGACACTGAGAAATCTGCATCTACTCCCGAACTTCGAGATATTTTTGACTGCGATTCACCGATAGTTTGTTATTTAATTTTACAAAGTTATTAAATTTTTAGTTTGCATGCGCAGATTTGGAACCGGCAAGCAAAGAAAAAACACCAACTAGTGATAGTCAATTTGCCGCAATGGAGGTAATTCTATCGAAATCTTCAATTAAGAGTAGCTCATCTTAGGAAGGTGACCTATCGGATGGCTCGCTAGTCGGCGACGAGGATATACAGCTTTATGAAGAAATTCGAAATGAAAAGAAAGTTCTCCGTAATAAGGGCAAGAAGAAGGTGAAAAACTTTTTCAATTTATTAAATTTTATCGATATTTTAGACACCCAAGAAGCAGAAGAAAAATTTGTCGGATAGTGAAGATGAGATTGATGCACTACTTGCCGGAACGAATAAACTTCTAAAGCAGCCCATTCGAATCATCAAAAGAAACAATGATGATGATGATGACAAGAGCGAGGAAGTTTCCGAAGAGAACGAAGAAGAAAAAAACGAAGAAAGCTCTAATGATGCAGCGCCCGATAGTGACGCCTCTACCGCAAAACCGGACAAAGTATAATTTTACACCGTAGTTCAATTTTTTAATATTCTTAGTTTTTATAATTTTTTCCAAATTTCAGGAAGCAAGCGCAAAAGCATCAAATGGAGAAGAGAAAAAAAAGAAATCCGGAGGTGGCAAAGGAATTTCTACTGAAGAAAAGAAGTATTTATTAAAGATCGAATCTAGTATATTAGTTTTATAGAACTAATGGTAAGAAGACGACCCGCCCAAGTTCGAATGATGACCGGAAGAGGGACGACGAGGATGGCGAAGATTCGAATTCGACTGGCGACTCGTCTGTTGAAGGAAGCGACGAAGAATATTTGGTACTCCTATACAAAGTAGAAAAATAGAGACTTTGTATTTAGCGTTCTATTGATGCTGACTTGCGAAAGAATCGACGTCTCCTTAAAGCAATGGAGTCGGATAACGAGGAAGATGATGACAAAAAAGATCGCCCTAAAAAGAAAGCAGCCGCTGGACAGAAGGCAAAGACTAGAAATAAGAGGTTAATTAGAAGCTTCATACGACCCACGATACAAGTTTAGGAAGCTCATCTCGGATAATGAGTCTGATGCCAGTGTTGACAGCATTTTCGATGACGAAGCCGAAGAATCAAATGACGAAAAGGAAGTGGCGCCCAAGAAAAACAAGAATCAGAAACAGCGAAAAGGGAAACGAAGAAAGGTTTGGTTGTTTTCTTGTCTTGTCGAAGGTAAAATTCTAGGTCAGGGTTGACTCTGAAGAATCTGAGGAAAAAGCGGAGGGTGAGGAAGCCACGGAAGTCAAAGAAAAGGAAAAGAAAAATTTGGCGCGCGGTGGAAAGGCACTATTGACAAAAGATAAGCTAACGAAGGAAACAATCAGCGCTGAAAAGGCAGAAAGGGTTCGTTGATTCGTTTGGTAATACCAGTCAACTTTTGTTTTAGGAACGGCGCAAACGACTTGAACAGAAGCAGAAGGAGTTCAATGGAATTGAGTTGGCTGAAGAAGAGGACTTGGCTGCTGCACTCACTGGATCTCAAAAATCGATCAAGCTCAAGTCGGTCGTACTTGATGCCGATAAAAATGGAACTCCTTCACAACCGGTTGAAGTGCATCCATCCTTGGTGAGACTTTTTCTTTTAAATATTCTAACAACGGTAGTTTAATAGCGTGCATTAAATTTAGGTTCAAGTTTTAAAGAAGCACCAAGCTGAGGGAATTTCGTTCATGTATGACTCGGCTTTCGAATCTGTTGATCGACTCGACGAGGATGGCAGCGGTGGAATATTGGCGCATTGTATGGGTTTGGGAAAAACTTTGCAGGTTGTTTTTTTTTTTTATTTCTATCAACTTAATCTTTAGGTCATTGCTTTTTTGCACACAATCATGAACCATCCAAAAATTGGACAAAAGGTATAGAGCTTTATTGATTTACCAATATCATTTTATTTAGATTCGCCGTGTTCTGATTATTGTGCCGAAAAATGTCGTTATCAATTGGTTCAAAGAGTTCCAAAAATGGCTTGCAAATAATGATGAAGAATTGGACACAATTGAGGTAGGATTAATTTTCTTTCCAGAGGATAATGACTGATTAGGTGATGGAGCTTGATCAATTCAAAAGTCACGACGACCGTCACCGTGCACTGCGAAATTGGTAAGAAAAATTTGCCATGCTTTTATAAGTAATTTTAGGCATCGACGAGAAGAACCTTCGGTAATGATTGTTGGCTATGATATGTTCCGAATTCTCACCACTTCAGAAGATGATAAAGTTTGTCATAACGTTTATGACCTTCTAACATACTAGATTCAGGGTGGAAAAAGGAAACCGGTTGCCAAGCCCAAGAAGACGAATAGGAAATTTGCTAAATTACAAGAGGACTTCCGCTATTACTTACAAGATCCAGGTGCATTTTATTGTGTAATCGATGATATTGAGCTAATTGCAGGTCCGGATTTGATCGTTTGCGATGAGGCACATAAGTTAAAAAATGACGAATCGGCTCTCAGTAAAACGATGCGAAAGATTCGAACGCGACGCCGCATTTGTCTAACTGGAACGCCACTTCAAAACAACTTGATTGAATGTAAGCCAAAAAGAAGGTCTTGATGGTTTATTTTTTATTTTTAGATCACTGTATGGTTAATTTTGTGAAACCTGGACTCTTGGGAACAAAAGCAGAGTTTGCAAATCGATTTGCTAATCCGATCAATAGGTAAAAGTTGATTCATTTTCCAACTTCAGTATTTTAGGGGCCGTACAAAAGATGCTACGTCGGGTGAGGTTCGTTTTATGAAACGTCGTTGCCATGTGCTATTCGAGCACCTGAAGAAATGTGTTGACGTATGTGCCATTGCTGTTTTCATTAATGAGATGAATTTTAGCGAAAGGACTACACCGTTTTGAAAGAGGCAATCCCACCAAAACAGGAATATGTGCTGAACGTGCGATTAACGGAACGTCAATGCGACCTCTATCGGGCCTTTTTGGAGAACGTTGGAGATGTAAGCTTGTTCTTATGATTTCTTTATTTAATTGCTTAGACGGACTTCGAGCGACTTCGCCGCTTATTACCAGACTACCATGTGTTATCGAGAATTTGGACACATCCTTACCAATTGCTGGTTCACGAGGCCGAAATGGAACGTCGAGTGAGTTTTATTGTATCCATTTTTCGACTTGCCAATCCATTTTAGAGAATCCTTCGCGATGAGTCAGAGGAAAACGATCGCTTCGTTGATGATCGATCCGAAGGTGAACTAACGGAGAATTCGGGAAGTGGAGCGGACAGTGACGTTATTTGTGAGGATGATGAACCGGGGCCATCAAATGCAAGACCGTGGGTGTATTGTTTTTATAAACATGTACTTGTTTTTAAGAACACGTTCAAGTCGTCGTCTAGCGGGAGAAGAAGTAGAAGTGAATCCTTTGCGGGATGGCACTCCGCCAGAGTATTCTGGGTACATTAATTAAGCACATCTGTATTTATAGTTGTTTAGGTGGTTCTCCAAACTGGATCTCGTTTCTGAAGATGACAAAGAAAAGTTTGATCTCTCTAATAAGCTCATCTTGTTGGTTAAAATCATCAAGAAATGCGAAGAGATTGGTGACAAATTGTGAGTTGATTCAAATGTCAAAAGTCGTAATAGGACATCTTTAGACTCGTGTTCTCACAGTCACTGGAATCTTTGGCGCTAATCAAAAGGATGTTGATGCACTTTGATTCAACGAAAACATGGTTTACCGATGGACATGAAGCACTAAATGGAAATGAAAGATGGGGATGGCAGGTGCGTTTTTAAATTATGTTTCAATACTAATTCTTATTTTAGGAAGGCTACGATTATATGACGATCGATGGCTCCGTTCAAGCAGGGAAACGTGACTCGGTACAAACGGCTTTCAACAATCCCAGAAACCTGCGAGCAAGGTACATGATGATTCAGTTTATTTTAATAGAGCAGTTTTAGATTGATGCTCATCTCAACAAAAGCGGGTTCACTTGGGACAAACATGGTCGCTGCAAATCGAGTTGTGATCTTTGACGCTTGTTGGAATCCGTCGCATGACACGCAATCTCTCTTCCGTGTATATCGTTTCGGACAAACAAAGCCTGTCTACATTTATCGATTTATTGCGCAGGTTCGCGTTAGCTATTTTATTATGGTATCCAGTTTTAGGGAACTATGGAGGAGCGGATCTACAAACGCCAGGTTATCAAAGAGTCGACGTCAATGCGGGTCGTTGACGAGGCACAAATTGAGCGGCACTATGAAGGACACGATCTTGCTGAGCTCTACAAGTGCTGGATTGATTTGACCATTGACAACTTTGTGCTAATTTAGTTTCGATCCAAAATCCTTGACGGAGAATGGAAACCAACGTCCAGCCTATGCTCCTCCGAAAGATCTTCTATTGGCTGATGTCCTCCACAATCAACCGGATACGATCACGGACTTTTTCCAACATGACACATTGTTTGCTAATGTCGACAATGAGAAATTAACAGATGAAGAAGTGAGTTTAATTTGATTTAAAGGTTTTTGTTTTTCCAGAAGCTTATCTTTATGATTTTAGTGTCGCGAAGCTTGGGAGGATTACGAACAAGAAAAGAAGGGTATTCGAGCGAACACTTTGGCCGGAACGAGTAAAGTTTCCTATTTTATAAAATTGTATATGTTTTTTCAGATCAATGGAATGCTGGACGCGGTGCGAATCCTCTTCAGGGTCTCTCCAATGAGCAGCGAGCAATACTAGAAAGACAACAAGTTCGAATACCATCAGTTGGGGTTAAAATGATTTTGTCTGTCGGTGTTGAGTCTGCAATGCTTGTTTGCTTGTAAAGCAACTTTGAAAATTTGCCGGTCATATTACAATCACTTAGGCAATGGCCACTATCCAGTCGGACCCGATTTTCCTGAATTGCTTCTTGATCAAAAACATGGAGAATGACACAGCTGTGAAGGTAACAATTTTTCTCTTCATTTTTAAGAATGCTTTTAGATTACTTACATCAAACGAGTGCTTGAGGAATTGTTGCCGAAGATTCCAATGCATATGCGAGGAGGAATCACCGAGTTTACCGGGTACTTCCATACTCTTATCAACGAAGTGCGACAGGTATCCATGTCTCGAAGGATTTTATGATATCAATTTCTAGAACAATCAAAAACCGGCTTATCTTCAACAACGAGCAATTTCTGTTTTCCGAACAGTTGTGAAAATGGTATGTTTTCCCATGGTGTCTAAAATTGTCTTTTCTTTAGACAAAGGACGTTCTGGAGTGTAAAACAATTTTGCGACAAATCTACAATTCGACACCGATGTTCTTCGACCCACTCGAGCCACCACCATAAAGAATTTTCCCGGCGCCGTCAATAGCTTCATCTAATGTGTTTGTTTCTCTTTTACCTTTGTACTACTTTAAAATTTTTCTTTATAATCCATCGTAATTACTCCAAGTTTCGTGGTAGATTTGAGCTTTTTGGCGGCTAACCGTGTGATCTCTATATCATATTAATTTAAGATTTGTCTTTGGCTTTTGTAAACTTGTGTTACTTTAGGCTTTTCACAGCAAAGTATTTCCGGGTTACAATTTCGGTTTTTTTGCAGGCGAATGGTGTTTACTATGTAGTTCTTTGTCTCTTTATTTATCGAGATTTATTTTCAATAAATTAATCTTTTCAAGTTATCACCGAGAGTAAAGCAAAAGGAACAAAGGAAAAACCGGCGTTGAAATCGGCGACAAGGCAGAGCAATCAACTACGAATTTGCACAATCGGTGGCTCCTAAAGATAAATTCTAGATAAAAGATTCAGATCGGATCTGATCTGATCCAATTCAGATCATTCTTGATTAATTTAGCATGATGATTTGATTAACGGAATCGATCCCTGTTAGGTGGAGCTAGTTACTAAATTAGTTGCTTTACAATACGATGCTTCTTATTTGGGATTTTCAGAAATTTTCTTTGCAAAAGGCTAACTCTTTGAAAAGAAGGACGAAAAAGTGGGCTTCGAAAAGGAGGAGAAAAAAATGGCGCTGAGAAGGAAGGAGAGGAAAAGGTTCGTTCTTCAATTTTTTTTTGTTCGTTGCTGTTACACCATCTGCTATGCGCACGGTTGCCTAGTAAGGTTTGGTTTTATCTTTTAATCTACCGTATAAAGCTCTAATAGAAGACCCCACCAATAGGAGCGTTGCGTAGTCTAAGTTTACACTCAAACAAACGCTCATATCTTGACACCAGCACGTTTATTTCTGCTCGTTTAGGTTTCAAATTAAAGTAGAGAGGATGGGTGGGGTTTTTTTAAAGATATAACACAGATTTCTAGCATTAACCAGTGTTTAGAAAAAAAAAATGAAAAGAAAAAAAAAACACTAAAAATTAGGCGCTGAAAAGTAGTTTTTAAAGAATAAAAACATTGCCTAAAGTTGTGCCAAAACTACTCTCAAACTATTCCTCAAACTACTTTCAATTTGCATTAGTTATTCTCTTGCTTTAGGATTATTCAATTTTAGAGATTTGCCGTAATTTGGAAAGCCGAATAGCTTGTGGTATCTTTGTAATTATTTATTATTTATTTGATTTTAGTTCTCTCAAAGGCCGAGCGTGCTGAAGGAAGAAAAGGAACCGCTAAAGAAAGATGGTAGTGATCATGCATAGATTAGAACTATTTTAGAATCAGCTTCACCAAATCAACCACCACCACCAAATGACAGCGATGGATGGAGCGATGGACAGCAATGGACAGCAATGAAAAGCAATGGACAGCAATGAAAAGCAATGGACAGGAATGGAAAGCAATGGACAGCGATGGGCAGCGATGGGCAGCAATGGAAAGCAATGGAAAGCAATGGAAAGCGATGGAAAGCAATGGACAGCGATGGACAGCAATGGACAGCGATGGATCGAGCGATCAAAGGACATTTGTCGTTTTGTTAAAGAAAGGTTGATTTTAATGCGTTTGATTTATTTAACTTGAGGGGTGGGACAAATGCGACCTTTTTTTGCGCACCTGGACATTTGCGCACCTTTTTTTTGCTGGAAAAGGCCTTAGGCAAGGCCGTAGAGCTTTGAAAATATTTCGAAAATATTTTCATATAAGGGAATCGTATGCGTAGATTCCGAATTTCGACAAATCAGACCTCGCTGACACGTCAAATTTGGGTTAAAAGGCAAAAACTGCGGAAAAGCGTTAAGTTGCGTAGTTTTTGCCTTTTAGTCCAAATTTGACGTGTCAGCGAGGTCTGATTTGTCAAAATTCTGAATCTACGCATACGATTCCCTTATATGGAAACATTTTTGAGGCTCTCCGGCCTTTCCTAAGGCCTTTTCCAGCAAAAAAAAAGGTGCGCAAATGTCCAGGTGCGCAAAAAAAAGGTCGCATTTGTCCCACCCCCTTTAACTTGTTTTATTTAACTTTTAGAAGGTTCCCAGTGAGATACAGGGTGAAATTGGCTGAGAAAATTTGCTTTGCTGAGTGAAATTGCTAGTCTGGGCCACGTCTATCACCTTAGTAAATCGGAAATCTTCGATTTGAGTGACAAGGATTCAGAAAATGAATGCGATAATTGATTGTTGATGATTTGAAGGGTTTGTCATTGATTTTTATTTACAATTTATTCGATTTTTATTTGTTTAATGTTCAATAAAATTCTAAAAGTTTGCGTTTTTTTTAATTTTTGACTGAAATCATTTGAGTTTTTTGGTGAAAAATGAGCGCTTTTTTGGGAATTATGCGAAAAATGAGCGCTTTTACGTTTTCAGGAGTAAAGTAATGTTGTAAAGTGACGTTTGAGTGAAGAAAAGTTACATAAAACAATGAAAACAGGATGAAAAACATTGAAAAAGTAAAAAGGGAGGTGATTTTTTTACACAAATCATCCTTATCCTCAAGGATTTCACCCTTTTTTAAAAATTAATTTTGAAAAGAGAACTGGAGAGCTTCAACAGCTGGCTTGAGAGCTTCAACAGCTGGCTTGAGAGCTTCAACAGCTGGCTTGAGAGCTTCAACAGCTGGCTTGAGAGCTTCAACAGCTGGCTTGAGAGCTTCAACAGCTGGAGAGCTGTTGGCTTTCAATTTTGAGTAAAGTTTAACCTTTTGTAATAGTTAAATATCAAAAATTGATATCAAAAAACGGATTACTGCCAGAAACGAATCGAAATTAGTGATTTGAGTTGTTTTCATTCAACTTTCATTAAACTTTTATTCAACTTTCATTAAAATTTCATTAAACTTTCATTCATTAAACTTTTGCATTCATTAATTACTGTTTAAAAGGTTTCTTTCAACTCAGAAAACTAATGGGAGCGATATTGACAAAAAATAGGCTAAACATCAAAACAATCAACGCTGAAAAGGTAGAAAAAGTTCGTTGATTCGTTTTGTAATATCAGTTAAATTTTGTTTTAGGAATGGTGCAAACCACTAGAAGAGAAGCAGAAGGAGTTCAATGGAATTGAGTTGGCTGAAGAAGAGGACTTGGCTACTGCACTCACTGGATCTCAAGCTCAAGCTCAATCTCAATCTCAAGCTCAAGCTCAAGCTCAAGCTCAATCTCAAAAATCGATCAAGCTCAAGTCGGTTGTACTTGACCGATAAAAATGGAACTCCTCCTCCACGATACAAGTTTAGGAAGATCACCTCGGATTATGAGTCTGATGCCAGTGTTGACAGCATTTTCGATGACGAAGCCGAAGAATCAAATGACGAAAAGGAAGTGGCGCCCAAGAAAAACAAAAATCAGCGAAAAGGGAAGCGAAGAAAGGTTTGGTTGTTTTCTTGTCTTGTCGAAGGTAAAATTCTAGGTCACGGTTGACTCTGAAGAATCTGAGGAAAAACCGGAGGGTGAGGAAGCCACGGAAGTCAAAGAAAAGGAAAAGAAAAATTTGGCGCGCGGTGGAAAGAAATTGACAAAAGATAAGCTAACGAAGGAAACAATCAGCGCTGAAAAGGCAGAAAGGGTTCGTTGATTCGTTTGGTAATACCAGTCAACTTTTGTTTTAGGAACGGCGCAAACCAATTGAACAAAAGCAGAAGGAGTTCAATGGAATTGAGTTGGCTGAAGAAGAGGACCTGGCTGCTTCACTCACTGGATCTCAAGCTCAAGCTCAAGCTCAAAAATCGATCAAGCTCAAGTCGGTCGTACTTGATGCCGATAAAAATGGAACTCCTTCACAACCGGTTGAAGTGCATCCATCCTTGGTGAGACTTTTAAATATTCTAGCAACGATAGTTTAATAGCTTGCAATAACGTGCAATAAATTTAGGTTCAAGTTTTAAAGAAGCATCAAGTTGAGGGAATTTCGTTCATGTATGACTCGACTTTCGAATCTGTTGATCGACTCGACGAGGATGGTGGCGGTGGAATATTGGCGCATTGTATGGGTTTAGGAAAAACGTTACAGGTTGGGTACTTTGGTGGTTTGTAGGGGTCACTTTTCTTCTGTCTTAATTGAATCTAATGTTTTGAGTGGTTGTATTATATTGTTTTGAATGGTTATATTACCTTTAAATCAAAAGTTCAATCAAAACCAAAAGATCTAGGGTAATCAAACGATGCTTATACTTTTAGAGTATCGACAACATTTTTTCAAGCTTTATATTGCCGCTTTTATTTTATTTTCAAGTGTAAGCAGCTTTGAGGTTTAGTGTAAGCAGCTATTTTCAAGTGTAAGCAGCTTTGGGGTTTAGTGTAAGCAGCTACTACTAAAATTACTCAGATTCTTTTGTTTTGTGGTTAAAATACATGAGATTAGGATAGACTTGCCAAAAACTTAATCTATAATCAATAATCAATAATCTATAAATCTATAATCTATAATCTATAAATCAATAATCTATAATCTATAATCACTAATCACTAATCTATTAAGCCTATTTGATTACTTTAGAATAGAAAAAAAGGTATCAATACAACCACTCAAAAAAATTGAATCGCTTAGTTGAATGGTCAATAGAACCATTCAACTAAGCGAGGATAAAAGTAACCCCTCTCAACTACTACTAAAATCACTCAGGTTGTTTTGTTTTTTTTGTTTCCTATCAACTTAATCTTTAGGTCATTGCTTTTTTGCACACAATCATGAACCATCCAAAAATTGGACAAAAGGTATAGAGCTTTATTGATTTACCAATAACATTTTATTATTAGATTCAACGTGTTCTGATTATTGTACCAAAAAACGTCATTATCAATTGGTGCAAAGAGTTCCAAAAATGGCTTGGAAATAATGATGAAGAATTGGACACAATTGAGGTAAGATTAATTTCCTTTCCGGAGAATCATTACTGATTAGGTGATGGAGCTTGATCAATTCAAAAGTTACGATGACCGCCACAGTGCGCTGCAAAATTGGTAAGAAAAGGATGCAAGGCTCGCTGGCTGCAAGGCTACAGCAATTTTAGGTATCGACGAGAAGAACCTTCAGTAATGATTGTTGGCTATGAGATGTTCCGAATTCTCACCACTTCAGAAGATGATAAAGCTTGTCATAACGTTTATGACCTTCTAACATACTAGATTCAGGGTGGAAAAAGGAAACCGGTTGCCAAGCTCAAGAAGACGAATGAGAAATTGACCGAATTACAAGAAGACTTCCGCTATTACTTACAAGATCCAGGTACATTTTATTGTGTAAGCGATGATATTGAGCTAATTGCAGGTCCGGATTTGATCGTTTGCGATGAGGCACATAAGTTAAAAAATGACGAATCGGCCCTCAGTAAAACGATTCGAAAAATTCGAACGCGACGCCGCATTTGTCTAACTGGAACGCCACTTCAAAACAACTTGATTGAATGTAAGCCAAAAAGGCAGTTCTTGATGCTTTTTTACTTTTAGTTCACTGTATGATTGATTTTGTGAAACCTGGACTCTTGGGAACAAAGGCAGAGTTTACAAAACGATTTGCTAATCCGATCAATATGTAAAAGTTGATTCATTTCCCAACTTCAGTATTTTAGGGGCTGTACAAAAGATGCTACATCGGGTGAGGTTCGTTTTATGAAACGTCGTTGCCATGTGCTATTCGAACACCTGAAGAAATATGTTCACGTATGTGCCATTGCTGTTTTCGTTAGTGAGATAAATTTTAGCGAAAGGATTACACCGTTTTGAAAGAGGCGATCCCGCCAAAACAGGAATATGTGCTGAACGTGCGATTAACGGAACGCCAATGCTATCTCTATCGGGCCTTTTTGGAGAACGTTGGAGATGTAAGCTTGTTCTTATGATTTCTTTATTTAATTGCTTAGACGGACTTCGAGCGACTTCGCCGCTTATTACCAGACTACCATGTTTTATCGAGAATTTGGACACATCCTTACCAATTGCTGGTTCATGAGGCCGAAATGGAACGTCGAGTGAGTTTTATTGTATCCATTTTTCCACTTGCCAATCCATTTTTAGGCAATTCATCGTCGTCTAGCGGGAGAAGAAGTAGAAGTGCGGGATGGCACTCCGCCAGAGTATTCTGGGTACATTAATTAAGCACAGCTGTATTTATAGTTGTTTAGGTGGTTCTCCAAACTGGATCTCGTTTCTGAAGATGACAAAGAAAAGTTTGATCTCTCGAATAAGCTCATCTTGTTGGTTAAAATCATCAAGAAATGCGAAGAGATTGGTGACAAATTGTGAGTTGATTCAAATGTCAAAAGTCATAATAGGACATCTTTAGACTCGTGTTCTCACAGTCACTGGAATCTTTGGCGCTAATCAAAAGGATGTTGATGCACTTTGATTCAACGAAAACATGGTTTACCGATGGACATGAAGCACTAAATGGAAATGAAAGATGGGGATGGCAGGTGCGTTTTTAAATTATGTTTCAATACTAATTCTTATTTTAGGAAGGCTACGATTATATGACGATCGATGGCTCCGTTCAAGCAGGGAAGCGTGACTCGGTACAAACGGCTTTCAACAATCCCAGAAACCTGCGAGCAAGGTACATGATGATTCAGTCTAGTTTGATAGAGCAGTTTTAGGTTGATGCTCATCTCAACAAAGGCGGGTTCACTTGGGACAAACATGGTCGCTGCAAATCGAGTTGTGATCTTTGACGCTTGTTGGAATCCGTCGCATGACACGCAATCTCTCTTCCGTGTTTATCGTTTCGGACAAACAAAGCCTGTCTACCTTTATCGATTTATTGCGCAGGTTCGCGTTAGCTATTTGATTATGGTGTCCAAGTTTTAGGGAACGATGGAGGAGCGGATCTACAAACGCCAGGTTATCAAAGAGTCGACGTCAATGCGGGTCGTTGACGAGGCACAAATTGAGCGGCACTATGAAGGACACGATCTTGCTGAGCTCTACAAGTGCTGGATTGATTTGACCATTGACAACTTTGTGCAAACTTAGTTTCGATCCAAAATCCTTGACGGAGAATGGAAACCAACGTCCAGCCTATGCTCCTCCGAAAGATCTTCTATTGGCTGATGTCCTCCACAATCAACCGGATACGATCACGGACTTTTTCCAACACGACTCATTGTTTGCCAATGTCGACGATGAGAAATTAACAGATGAAGAAGTGAGTTTAATTTGATTGAAAGTTTTTTTTTATTTCAGTAGCTTATCTTTATTATTTTAGTGTCGCGAAGCTTGGAAGGATTACGAAAGAGAAAAGAAGGGTAAACGAGCCAGCACTCCTGCTAGAATAAGTAAAATTTTGTATTTTATAAATACATAATCTTTTTTCAGAACAATGGGATGTTGTCGACACCGATGTTCTTCGATCTTTTTCGCGGCTATCCTTGTGATCCTTATTATCATATTGATTTATCATTTGTTTGACCTCTTGCTTCACTTCCTGGTGCCAACTAGGATACGATCTCGTTTTCTATTGGGTCTCAACGATCTTCAGATGAGAAGGTGCAAAGGTGTAGCCATTTTAATACTAATTTACACAAGGTGGCGGTCAATTTTCTAAATTCTTTTCCCTTTTCAAATTTTTGTCATATAGTTTCTTCTCTAGATCCCGAGCATAAAATATTCACCTCATCTCTTTACTCTCTAATAGAGTGTAGTTATAATAATCCTGCAAAAACAGCCCCTAGCCATATTTCCAGAGCTAAAGCAAGACTAAAAGGACCTCTAGTATCAACACGAGTGTCTAGCTCATCTTTAGATGTTCCCGAAAGTCGTCTGGTTGCAAACACTCAATTAACCCTATCCCTATTCTCAAAAATTTTTGAATCTAACATAGAAAGATGAACCATAAATTTTTCAAACCCGCAAACACTTTTTCTCCTACATAAACTCTAAAAGCAAGGATAAGAGATCTCTCCCAAATTGCTTCATTAATCCCGATTCTCCGAATCTTTTCCTTACAAATCCCTCGGATATTACTACTTTCTTTACCAGGTTTTTCATTTAAGTTTCGAAAATTCAAAAAAATTCAATGACATTCTATTTCCCCCTTAAAATTTAAACAAAACATCATCTCCCCATGTATCTAAAACATACCTCTTCGTGATCTCGGGGTCTACATAACTTCTTTATTCAAATTTTCACTTCATGTTGGCATAATTAGCAAAAAAAGCGTCTTACTTCCCTAAACGTATCTTAAGATCTATCAGTATTCTTGATATCAAAATTTATGGGAAGTGTTACGTCACTTATGTCCGCCCTATCCTTGAGTAATATAACCATTCAAAACGTATGCTTCCCTTGTATATGGTCTCCTATTTCTAAATATCAAGTCATAAAAATAGAAAACATTCAGAAGCACTAGACAAAATTGATTACGATAAATATAGGTCCAATAATTATGGATTTCGCTTAAAACTTTTTGATCTAGAATCTCTCCATCAACGCCGCCTTGTTGTAGATTTAGTAGAATGTTTTAAAATTGTAAGAGACCTACATCATAATCCGCTTTTCAAAAAAATTTTCTTCCTCTAAACCCTAGAAGGTCGGCACCGAGAAGGGGATTTCTGCTTTTACATCATCAAAATATTGTTTCTTCGATATTTTCTAAAAGATTCGTAAACTGTTGGAATTCGTTTCGAAATAATTTAAGCAAATGCACTTTCGTTTCTACAGTTTTTTTAAGTCAGCGGTTCTTTCTAGTCTCAAAATAATCAACTTTGTTTTTAAGAATTTACTATTTATTGTTGGTTCTCTGTATATTCTTGAAAGTCTTTTTCTTGGTTTTCTGCATTTTTTTATTATCATTATTGTCATTTATTGTCTTGTATGATTTCTTAAATTTAATTTCATTTCATTCTACTGTGTCATTCATTAGATCAATTTCATGAATTTTAGATATTTGTCTTTGTCTTTGACTTTTGTAAACTTGTGTTACTTTAGGCTTTTCACAGCGAAACATTTCCGAGTTACAATTGTGATTTGTTTGCAGGCGAATGGTGTTTACAATGTAAGTTCTTTGTCTCTTTATTTATCGAGATTTATTTTCAATAAGTTAATCTTTTCAAGTTATCACCGAGAGTAAAGCAAAAGGAAAAAAAAAGTAGCAAAGATTGAGAAAAATATGGAAATTGTATGTTGTTTCTGCCAATTATTAGAGGGTGGCCCGATTGTACGCGTAAAGCTGAATGATTGTAAGGCTGTAACGACCAAGAATAATTAGTTTGTCCATATGATTGTTGTTAATAGTGCGAAGAAGCGTATTCGATTGGCTTATTCACGACGACAACTGTTGGTTTCTGGATCGACGACGCGAAATTCGCCTCTCTTAAGAGGTAATTCCGATAGGCGAACGAGACACGAGCTTGCCAGAGATTGTAGAAAAGAAAGGTGAAGAGAAAAGCATAAACGGTAGCTGATTCCCCGTAAAAAACGGCGTTTTTCTCGGAATACATTGCTGAAAAATGGTTATTTTTTTATTGGATTTCTTTAATTTATTTCATTTTCTCTTACTTTTAAACATCCAATTAGTGATCATTAAAATGTAGAGCGGTTTAATGAAGAAATAGAAGGAGAAGATGAGGAGTGCGTATGTGGAGAGACCGATATGGAAACACTGAAATCGATATTACGGCATTTCGGGAGTTTGAGAGGGAAATTAAAACCGTTTTTTTTGTTCATTTTATATGATTTTTTTTATTGATTTTCTTATTAAAAACAAAATCCTATTATCTTTTTGCTTACCGATTGAGCGATAATAGGCCAAACAAGTCGATGATTTCTCGTCGTCACCGCTGCGATCGTCACTCCCACCACGGAGAGTGGGATCAATAAAATGAACATTGCCTGAAAGTATTTGATGGTATTTGACGTTAGATTTAGAAACCTTAGACGTTTGGATCAATTAAAGTGATATCCAGATTAGAAATTTTGATAGGAATTGAGCGATTCTGAGGCATTAGAAGGCTTGGATTACTCCAATCTTGTAGTGGCTAGTTTGAGTGTATCTAACTTGTAAGGAAATCGATTATTTGACGTCACCGGCAACTAAAGTGCTATCCAGCTTAGACTGTTCGGGGCTCATTGAGTGATTCTGAGGCATTAGAAAGCTTGAATTGCGTCAATCTTGTAGTGGCTAGGTTGAGTGTGTCTAACTTGTAAGGAAATCGATTATTTGACGTCACCGGCAACTAAAGTGCTATCCAGCTTCGACATTTTGATGGGAATTGAGCAATTCTGAGGCATTAGAAGGCTTGAATTGCGCCAATCTTGTAGTGACTAGTTTGGGTGTATCTAACTTGTAGAGAACTCGGGTATTTGGCGTTTAGGTTGACTCAAGTGATATCCAGCTTAGACATTTTGCTGAGAATTGAGCAATTTTGAGGCATTAGAAGGCTTGAATTGCTCCAATCTTGCGCTAAGGACCTGATTTCCTTTGTAAACAGTTTTGGCTACGATTTACCTTTCTAAATTTCACGAAGAGCAGCGCCGACAGCGCCAACAAGACACAGATACCGACGATGATGAAAAGTCGCATCGCTGTCTGAAAGTGATGAGTTTTTGGGAGGAATTGTTGAGGAAATTGAGGAAATGCTACAGATTCTAATTTTACTTAGGATTCTAGTTTCAAGCATTGATCAGCAAAAGATTGATCAGCAAAAGATCAGATCCAGAATGATCAACGATTGGTTAGGCAGAGAGCAGAGAGCTCAATGAGCCTCAAAGAAAGTCTCTTCAGATGAAAAGGCGTGGACAAGGAAGCGATTCAGTTGTCCTCGTGGTGCATTGGCAGAGCGTCCGTCTCTAGCCCCGGGCATCCGAGGTTCGATCCCGCTTGCTGCCTCCCACTATTGAGGTCTATTTTGACATCATTTTTGACCGCTATTTTATAGATTTTTTCAGAAAATCCTTTTCCAACTGATTTTGCCTGTTAACTAACCGCTAAATGAAGCTTTCCGCGAAGACATCGATCCCTATTCGAGTAGATTGACGGTGAGCCCATCTGGAAGAGTTTTTGATTGATTTCGAGTTGAATAAAGTTCAAAATGATAGCTTTGCAAGTAAGGATTTGAATGGGAAAAGGAGCTGTTTAAGAAGCGAAAAGCGAGTCGGAGAAAAGATGAGAGAAAGGCAATAAATCATTGAGGTTCCTCTCATCACTGACAATGGAATTCTTTGAGTTTTTGTTCAACTAGGTAAAGAGTTAAAGTTGAGACTCAACTGAGAAAATACTAGATTTCAAGGGCTTTCGTTTGACACCTAAACGAAAACTCTAGCTTAAAGGAGTGCGGAGATAGAGAGGTTCAAAGGTAGACTACGCGACTGTACGATCATGGGGTTTGATTAGTGAAGAGATTTGGGATAGAAAAGGGTTCAACTTGAAGTTCGAGCTTCGAGCTGGTTATGAGGGCTTCAGAGACTAGCCGGAAAGCTCCTTCGATGGTCTAGTGGATAAGTGTCTAGGCTAGAAAACCGGTCGCTTTGTTTCCCCGGCGAGTTCAAGTCCTCTCGAAAAATTTTGGTTTTTTAAAAACTTTCCCTATATTTGTGATAAAGTGATATCCAGATTAGACAGTTCGGAGCTAATCGCGCGATTCTGAGGCATGAGAAGGCTTGAATTGTGCCAATCTTGTGGTGGCTAGTTTGAGGTATCTAACTTGTAGAGAACTCGGGTATTTGGCGTTTAGGTTGACTCAAGTGATATCCAGCTTAGACCGTTTGATGGTAATTGAGCGATTCTGATGCATTAGAAGGCTTGAATTGCTCCGATGTTGTAGTGGCTACTTTGAATATCTCTAACTTGTAAGGAAATCGATGATTTGACGCTACGGGCAACTAAAGTGCTATCCAGCTTAGACATTTTGATAGGAATTGAGCAATTCTGATGCATTAGAAAGCTTGAATTGCGTCAATCTTGTAGTGGCTAGGTTGAGTGTGTCTAACTTGTAAGGAAATCGATTATTTGACGTCACCGGCAACTAAAGTGCTATCCAGCTTCGACATTTTGATGAGAATTGAGCGATTCTGAGGCATTAGAAGGCTTGAATTGCGCCAATCTTGCAGTGATTAGTTTGACTATTGATCTATAGTTGTAATTGCGTTTAAACAGTATTTCAATGAAAACTTTGAACTTTTTGGGTAATTTCAATTCGGCCAATGTCTAATTTCAATTCGTTTCTTTGATTAATCCGTTGTCTATATCAATCTTTGATATTTAAAGTACAGTAAAATCGTATCGTATCGTAAGCTTAGCTCAAAATTGAAAGCCAAAGCCAATTGAAAGCCAATTGAAAGCCAAAATTGAAAGCCAACAGATCTCTAGAGCTCTTTTTAAGATTGATTCAAGATTGATTCAATCCTTGAGTTCAAATGGGTGAAATCCTTGAAGATATGGATGATTTGTGTGCAGGAAAACGAGTTGTTGAGGAGGAAATTTGCATGCGAAGATAGGGATAAGTGGGCGGTTCTCTTAAAGATCGAAAAACAGGCTTTTTTCAGGAATAGTGCCATTTTTTGTAGAATAGATCTAGGAATATGAAATCATTCATCAATTGCAATAGAATTCGAGAGGGAAACCTCACAAATTACAATTGACAATCCAATGGCCGTTCTGGAAACGTTCTGGAAACAGGACAGCTACCAGAACTTGCCATTGGATTATCAATTGTAATTTTTGCCTCAAATCAAATCCCTATTGGAAAGCCGATATTTGCTAGACTCAATCAAATGAATAGCTCCAATCGATTCCCCGTCCGCGAAAACCCCTTGGTACAAATTTACAGCTAAATATCTTCCTTTTGAGTTATTTACAAAGTGAAAGAGCAAGTGTTCTTTGTGCGGCCACGTAATCGCTCGATTTCTGGTGCATCCTTTGGATAGATAGGGGTACTTTTTTGGACAGGAAGACAAAGGGAAATAGAACTACTGAAGGCTGGCAACCAAAAGCCAAAGCTGGAACAAATGATAGTCAACAAATGATAGCCAATTCGCCAGAGGAAATCAATTCTAATTGAAAGACAAGTTCTGAAAGAACCTTGACACGAGTTTTTTGAAAAACAAGCGGTTTGACCTCTGGTTTACGTCAATTTAGACATGGGAGGCCTGCTGATCAAAGCTGAAAGAAGGGAAATCAATCACTAGAGAGAAAAGCGGAAAGTTTCACAAATGGCATTATGTTCTTCTTCATCCGCTCCTTCTCCTTCTTCTTCTCCTCCTCCTTCTTCTCCTCCTTCTTCCTCTCCTTCTCCATCTTCTTCCTCTCCTTCTCCTTCCTCTCCGTCCTCTCCTTCTTCTTCTTCTCCTTCTCCATCTTCGTCTCCTTCTTCTTCTCCTCCATCTCCTTCTCCATCTTCTCCATCTTCTCCATCTCCTTCTCCTCCATCTCCTTCTCCTCCATCTCCTTCTCCTCCCATCTCCTTCTCCTCCTCCATCTCCTTCTTCTCCTTCAACTTGTCTCATTGTTGGTTCTTTGCGTGGCTTTTGTAGAGAATCGAAATTCTTTTGCCGAGTACATCTCTTGAGAGACACGAAAGTCACCGTCGAAAGTTGAATTTAAACTTCAAGTCAACAAATTCAAGTATTCAGAATTGCTTACAAGGCTAGCATCTTGTAAAGACTAGCTTGTACTCTAGTAAACGCACACTTTCTAGTACACTAAATTCTTTAATCAATATCGATTAACGAGATCTATTGTGCTAGAAAGCGTGCGTTTGAACGAAAAAACAATTCACCTTCTATAACGACAAATGTTAAAGGGATAAAAGAACTTGAAGAAATTAATTAAAAGCAATAAGATTTTAAATCGAAGTTGGGAAGAGCAGAAAGGGTTAGGAAGGGTTAGGAAGGGTTAGGACTGATTTAAAATAAGCAAAGAGCTGAAAAGAGGTGAGCTTAGAGGAACTGGTTACAGAAGCAGCCAGCAATAGAGATAAAAGTCAAAAGAAGCCGCTGGGAAACGGTGGTATTCAAAATAAAGGAAAGGATTTACAAAGGAGAAGTGAAAGAGAAACTAAGGCAGGTTTATGATTCAACAAAGAGGTGGACGGGAGAGGAGTGGGAGAGGGATGGGAGAGGAGTGGGGGAGGGATGGGAGAGGATGGGAGAGGATGGGAGAGGATGGGAGAGGATGGGAGAGGATGGGAGAGGATGGGAGAGGATGGGAGAGGATGGGAGAGGTATGGGGGAGGGATGGGAGTGGGAATGGGAAAGGAAAGGACTTGGTTGCAGAGAAACGGGTTCGAAGGTCTTCTCCCCTCAAGCTATCCCCTCTTTCTACACCCATTTCCCCATCTATTGAAGATGGCAATCGACAAGTCAAATTGGACATAATGGCATTTCTTGATTAGCATGCTTTACATGGAATTCTTGCAGGCTTGGAAAGAAGAGAAAGTTGTGATGGGGAATGGGAATGGGTTGTAGCTATCTATTGGTACAGGATGGCTGGAGGGCTAGATGACTAGAGGCCTAGATGATTAGATGACTAGCTGACTAGCTGACTAGATGACTAGATGACTGAATGACTAGATGACTAGATGACGGAAAAATGACTTGCCTAGATGACTAGCGTTCAACTGCTTGTCAAATGCTTGTTGAATAAGTCCAATCGAAAAGCTTTTGATAGATAAGTCAAGATAAGTAAGTAGTCAAGATTAACCCTACAATTCTCCATATAATACTTGAAACTTCTAAAATAAGATAAGCATTTACCGATTTTACAGCGTATTTTGTAATGTGACCATATTGGAACCCATTTACCGAACGCTGTGAAATTACAAGATATTTAATGAAGACTTTGACACAATAGCAAATGGCTGCAGAAGCGGCGTTGTTTTCGGGATCATGAAGCTTGCGCCGAAAAATTTACGCCACGCTGTCAAGCGAAAGTTACGCTACGGGAAGTTTGCACCATTCAACAAAGCGAAACTTCCGCCACTAGTTAAAAGTGAAATTTCCGTCATTTGCATCAATGATGTAATGGTGGCGCAAGTTTTGCTAGCGCAAGCAAGCCCTCGTGGCACAAGCAAGCCCTCGTGGCACAAGCAAGCTTCGTGGCGCAAGCAAGCCCTCGTGGCGCAAGTAAGCCCTCGTGGCGCAAGCTTCGTGGCGCAAGTAAGGTTCGTGGCGCAAGCTTCGTTGCGCAAGCTTCGTTGCGCAAGCTTCATGACCCCTTGTTTTCACCCACCGACGAGGCATCAAAGCTGCAGGATTTATTCAGCAATAAACGGTTTTGATTGTCTGTATTCAGTCTTAAAAAGCCTGGCCGTGTTCTTGAATTTTGATGACTTTTCGATTATTTGCAAAGCTTAGGCACTTGTTGCATCTAAACACTTGTCAATCTTTTTCTGGAATAAGACTTGCAGAGAACAAATCTCGAAAATCCGTTTTTCAATCCCTTTCAATTATATTTACGAGTTTTTGAGCTTTGAAAACAAATCTCTCTTACTAGGACAAGCGCAAAACTTTCCTTTTCCCCCCAAATCTATGCCAAGATCTTTGCATGACATCTAGCTTTCACCGTTTTAGATCTAGATCTAAAACGACCGTTTTCCGAATTGAGGGAAAGTAAAAAAAAAGCTATGGCTTTTTCTTCCAAGCTGGTGAAAAACTCAAATAACCAATGTTCTAGTAAATTTAAGTGTGAAAATTGTATTCAATCAAATAAAACCCACGTGTTTTAATAAAATAAAACAGAAAAACTGCCAAAACCGGGGGTAGACTAATTTCCGCAATAGGGTCATTTGCGCAACTCGCCAAAACTTTCTTCTAAGTGGACGAATCTTTATGTTTTTGGCGTCATTTTGTTGCACTTGTTGAGATCTACAAAATGACACCAAAATCATAAAGATTGGCCGACTTAGAAGAAAGTTATGGCGAGTTGCGCAAACGACCCTGTTGCGTAAAAAAAGTTGCGAAAATTACCCTACCCCCAAAACCGCATTGCTGCCAAACCGCATTGCTGCCAAACCGCATTGTTGCCAAGCCGCATTGTTGCCAAGCCGCATTGTTGCCAAGCCGCATTGCTGCCAAAACCGCATTGTTGCCAAGCCACATTGTTTCCAAGCTTCATTTGTTACACTAAAACATTCTTTTGCGAAATTTTTGGTCATCGCAGCTTTTTATAGTGCGAATCAGTGCAAACTTCTGTTTAAAAGATATTCAGTAAAAGAAATTGCTCCAAAGTCCGCCAAGACGACACCGCGATACAAATGACGACGTAGCTCTGCGTCGCTTTTCTGGCGGCCGTTTTACTTTTCCGCATTTTTTCCTAAAAATTATTTTATTTGGTTCCTCATCGATCCGTTCTTTCAGTTTTAAGTTTTAACTTTCGCTTTAACTTTCAGTTATGTTTTGTTTTTCAACTAGAAAGATTAGAAACGATACTTTAAACTAGTGGCTGATTTTTTGTAGGCAATGCTCCTCAAAAATTGAAAAATATGTCCTTCTAGCTTTTTTAGCTTTTAACTACTGAAAATTAATAATTTGCGCTAGTTTTTGATGTACAAAGATCTAAATCCTAAATTCAATCATAGCTGTGATCATTTTTGACTTTGTTGCTCGGATCTTACCTGACTAACTATGCAACCAAACCCTTAGCCTTTTCATTTGTGTCAATACCCAAAGGCATGCATTTTAATGATTGAATCAATTGCTCTTTTTTTTGTTTTCTTGTTCAAGTCTTGATTTTAGTAATGTTTTTTTCTTTTCAGGGTACAGCATGCCAACCAAGGCTAAGGGAGAGACGCTCAAGGAGTTCATCGTGATCGGCAGGAAGATCCCGACCGAGAAGGAGCCGGTGACACCCGTCTGGAAGATGCAAATCTTCGCCAGCAACCACGTCATCGCCAAATCTCGATTCTGGTATTTCGTGTCTATGCTTCGACGAGTCAAGAAGGCCAATGGAGAGATTCTTTCAGTCAAGGAGGTATTATTTTTTACAAAATTAAACTTCGATAGCCTTTGAATTAGGTAGATCATTTCTAGGATTTGATCCGGAAGCATGATTCATTTTAAACCTTTAAGGTATCTTATGCATTTTAAAAGAACATTTAGAAACATAAGAACGAAAAAAGAACAAAAGGAACAAATTCAACTTTTAGTTGGATATTTAATGTTGGATAACATTTCTAAAACATACGCTAAAAATTATAATCCGGATTTATTGTCTAGTCTAAGAACGACTGGGTGAATTGTTAACCTAGTTATACAAATTTGTTACAATTCGTTCAGTGTAGATTTAAAACAACACTTTGGGCTTGTTTAATTGTTTTTGTTCAGGTCTTCGAGAGGAACCCAACAACAGTCAAGAACTTCGGAGTTTGGTTGAAATACGATTCGCGAACTGGCCACCACAACATGTACCGTGAATACCGCGACACCACCATCGCTGGAGCCGTAACTCAATGCTACCGTGATATGGGCTCCCGACATCGTGCTCAAGTATGGTGTTTGTATGCAAAAGTGTTTATATTTGCTAGATTGAATGACTTTGTAGCTTGTAAAAGTAATTGATTACCTTCGGTAAATGTTTTACGTAAACTCATTCAGTCAGCAGATGAAATATGGTTTAAATTGCTTTTAGACCAGAAGAATAGGATAAAAATTATGACTTGTAGCATTACAAAACCATGAAGCAGCGTGTTAATTTAGAAAAGTGCAAACTTTAAGTTTTGTTTTTAGGCTGACCGCATCCACATTCTCAAAGTGCAGCCAATCAAGGCTGAAGAGTGCCGACGTGCTCCCATCAAGATGTTCCACGATTCAAAGATAAAGTTCCCTCTTCCACATCGTGTCACCAAGAGGCTCGGAGTTTCTCAGTTCACTACGCGTCGTCCAAAGACGCACTTTGCCTAATCTGTTTGTTATTTTATTTTTTCAATAAAGTTTTTGTTGATCCTAAAATATGGCCTTTAAAACATTGAAACAAAAAGTCTTTATTGGTGAGATGTGCGAAAAATCTGCATAAAAATTATTTGAACAATCGAACATGAAACGGCACATTTACTTATGGGGAAAGACTGTATACAAGTTTGGCTTGCAAATTGAGCTTTGGCGGAAGCATTAATACCCGTTATCGATGTGGTTTCAAATGCACTAGTGCTTTTCAAAAAGAGTTCAGAGGTTTCAAGATTAAAAGAAAACGGGGGGATACGGTTTGGGGGGCGGGACCTCAAAAATGCCTCTGGCCGCCAACAACGGTTTTTCTGGGGTTTTCAGCCAAGCTAAATCGATTGGTAATATTTTCAGAGCTTGTTCTTGCTACACTAAACTTATACTAGGCTATGGCTCAAAGTATTGGCTGAGCATAGGCTGCCTCGAGTGGTGTTAACGGTCTAGACGTGTTACGTACCTCTCATTGCCCCCCAAACCGTATAGCCCCGAAATCGCTGCAGTGAATTAAGTTGACACTTGGTTTTCTAAATGATCTCTTCTA